CCCCCCGCACCCCCGTGCCCAGCCAGCCGCTGGCCCCTGGGCTCCGCCCTCCGGCCGTGACACCCGCCTCTTCCAGGCCTGGCGATCGACTTCCCCGAGAGCAAGCTCTACTGGATCAGCTCCGGGAACCACACCATCAACCGCTGCAACCTGGACGGGAGCGAGCTGGAGACCATCGACGCCATGAGCAGCCAGCTGGGCAAGGCCACCGCGCTGGCCATCATGGGTAAGGGCCAGGTCAGGCCACGTGGACAGGAGGCGGTGCAGGCCGGGCCGGCCTCCCAGCCGCCCGCCTCCTCTGCTCCTGCCCCCAGGGGACAAGCTGTGGTGGGCAGACCAGGTGTCGGAGAAGATGGGCACGTGCAACAAGGCGGACGGCTCGGGGGCCGTGGTCCTGCGGAACAGCACCGCGCTGGTGATGCACATGAAGGTCTACGACGAGAGCGTCCAGCTGGGTGAGCACCGGCGGCGGCGCGTCCAGAGGCCGGGCCCTGACTGCCGGGCAGGCGGGGCAGGGAGCGAAACAGACCGGCGCCCTCTGTCCCTCTGTCCGGTCACCCCAAGGCACCTTATATGCTCAGAGCACCCCCCCGCCCCCCAGCTCACAGGGACCAGGGACTGAGAGGACGCAAAGGCCCAGGCGCCGGGCTGAGGTGACCCCCTGAGGTCAGGGTGCCCTCTGTCCTGGAGCTCAGGGACAGCCCGGGGCCGAGGTGCCACTAACGTCCTCTCTGCTCCCCCAGACCACGAGGGCACCAACCCCTGCAGTGTCAATAACGGCGACTGCTCCCAGCTCTGCCTGCCCACGTCGGCGTCCACCCGCTCCTGCATGTGCACGGCCGGCTACAGCCTGCGGAGCGGCCAGCAGGCCTGCGAAGGTCGGCGCCCCCCCCCACAGCCCTCCTCCTTCTCCCGCCTTCGGGGTGGGGCCGCAGCACCAGGCAGCCCCAGAGAAGGTGGCTGTGCGCGGGGTTTGCAGGATGAGCAGGAAGGAGCTGAGTGTTCAGAGGCGTGGGAATGACGTGTGAGGCGAGGGCTGCAGAGAAGGGGGGCGGGTGTGGGGCCCCGGGGTGCCAAGCCCGGGGCGCAGCGAAGAGTCATGGAGCGGCTGATGGGTGGGCGGGAGCGCCCAGCCGGGAGTACTGGGAGTGGGGAGGGCAGATTAACCTGGCGGCAGGGAGCCGGCGGCGGGTGGGGGGAGGAGAAACCGAGGCAGTCAGACCAGTTGGGAGACTGGCTGAGTAATCCCGGCTTGGACGTGGGGCTTAGCAGCTGGGTTGAGGCAAAGGGGTGAAACTCAGACATTTCTCAAGAGCTGCTGACTGATTTACGAGCTTGCCCGGGGACAGCGCTGCCCGGAGTGACTCCTGGGACCCTCCTGCCCTAATGTGGCAGGTGGTGTAGGAACGTTGGGTGGAGCAAAAGGAGTGTTTTGTGCAGAACTTCTCAGAGCCTTGAACAGACTCATCTGCACTGAGAATTTTTTTAAACATTCATTTATTGATTCGTACAGAACTGGGGTACAGGCCAGAGATGCGGAGGGCGAGAGGCTTCACCAGAGACAGAGTGGGGAGCAGAACAGGCAGATCGACGAAGTACACTGCTGAGGGGAGCAGCGGGCGGGTCAGGAGAGGTCTGCCGCGCCCTGGGGTCACCTCCGGGGCAGGCGGGGATCGAACTCATGCGGAAGCGGCTTTAGCTTCTCAGTGCTGTGCTGTAACCCGCTGCGCCACCAGGGAGGGCCTGCACTGAGAATTTTTAAGAGAAGACTGTGGCAGGTTACCCCGAACTCCTCTGAGCGTGGAATCCACTTTCCCAGAGCTTGCGTGGCCATGGCCGACCAGGGGTTCACTTGGGACACCCTGTATCAAGGGGGTCCCAGGATGAGCGGACAGTGGTGCTTCCTAAGAAAACCGAAGTGCAGGGGGTGGGAGTGGGGGCGAGGCGTTGGGCATCGGGGCTCCCCGTGTTGGGTGTGACAGACACGGAAGGTGGAGGGGACACTGAGGTGGAGACCTGCATGTGGAACCAGCTGGCCTTGACCGTCTTGTCTGAGCCCCCCCAGAGTCTCCCTGAAGCCTTGGGGTACCTCCCACCTTGCCCTGTGAAGCTGGCTGGGCCCAGAGCAGATGCCTGGGTCTCTGCTGGCCCCTAGTGGTTACAAGAGGCCTTGCAGCCTGCTGCCCCGGGAGGCCGGGCCAGGCTGCAGCCTCCGCCGGGGAAGGCGCGACCCCCAGGGGAGGTGTCAGGAGTGAAGCAGAGAGCCAGGTGGCGAGCCCACCCCAAAGGATGACCCGCGAGGCGCGTCTGAGTGGCCTTGTGTTTCAGGCGTGGGCTCCTTCCTCCTGTACTCTGTGCACGAGGGGATCCGAGGAATCCCCCTGGACCCCAAAGACAAGTCAGATGCCCTCGTCCCAGTGTCGGGGACCTCGCTGGCCGTGGGCATTGACTTCCATGCAGGTGAGCCACTGGCTTGAGGAGGGAGGGACGCGTGGCCTTTGTGGGTGCCTGGGTTTCGCCAAGAGAGGTCACCTGGCCACGCAGGAGGGGCCGCCCCGGCCCCCGCCCTGCAAGGCAGGCACCCCGCACCTGGCGCCACCCCCGCATGACTCCCGCCCCTGCCTTGCCGCCACCAGAAAACGACACCATTTACTGGGTGGACATGGGCCTGAGCACCATCAGCAGGGCTAAGCGAGACCAGACGTGGCGTGAGGATGTGGTGACCAATGGTATTGGCCGTGTCGAGGGCATCGCCGTGGACTGGATCGCAGGTGAGTGGGGGGAGGGCTGTGGGCCCATGCGGGCCGGGAGGGGGAGGGGCCAGAGAAGGGGCAGGCAAGACGGTCGGGGAGGAGGAGGGGACTCCCCGCGCACCCCTCTGAGCCCCACCCCCTCCCCCTCAGGCAACATCTACTGGACAGACCAGGGCTTTGACGTCATCGAGGTTGCCCGGCTCAACGGCTCTTTCCGCTATGTGGTCATCTCCCAGGGTCTGGACAAACCCCGGGCCATCACCGTCCACCCGGAGAAGGGGTGAGGAGCTGGATGGGCTGGCCAGTCCCAGCCCCGGCTTGGCCTGGCCAGTCTCTGAGCCCATCCTGGTGACGCCCCGTCCTCCGGCGTCTGGGGCTGACCGCCGCTCCTGCCCCCACCGCAGGTACCTGTTCTGGACGGAGTGGGGCCAGTACCCCCGTATCGAGCGCTCTCGGCTGGACGGCACCGAGCGAGTGGTGCTGGTTAATGTCAGCATCAGCTGGCCCAATGGCATCTCAGTGGACTATCAGGTTTGAACGCAGGCTGGGTCCCGGGGCCGACGGACTGACCCTGTGCTCCGGGGGACGGTCCCTTCCTCCTTCTGCGCCCTGACCCTTGAGCCCTCTCGTGTTGAGCGCCGCTGAGCGGGAGCCGGGGTATCGGGGGTCCTCGGGCCCAGCCGCCCCAGAGACGGGGCGTCACACAGGCGTGCAGAGTGGAGGGGCCCCTAGCGGTCAGCCCGTCAGCGGGCAGGGGGTGTAGCGGAAGGAGGACAGAGGCAGGAGAGGGGGCGAGGGGGGCGCTCTCGCCCGGGCCAGGGCCGCAGGGAGCCCGGAGGTGAGGCGGGTGCTCTGGCCGCAGGATGGGAAGCTGTACTGGTGTGACGCCCGGACGGACAAGATCGAGAGGATCGACCTGGAGACAGGTGAGAACCGCGAGGTGGTTCTGTCCAGCAACAACATGGACATGTTCTCAGTGTCCGTGTTTGAGGATTTCATCTATTGGAGCGACAGGTGAGGGCCGGTGTCCCCGCCGTCTGTGCCCTCCCGCTGGCCCCGCCGCCGCCCGCTCACAGCCCCCGCTCTCCCCAGGACGCACGCCAACGGCTCCATCAAGCGCGGGAGCAAAGAGAACGCCACGGACTCCGTGCCCCTGAGGACGGGCATCGGCGTCCAGCTCAAGGACATCAAGGTCTTCAACCGGGACCGGCAGAAAGGTGAGGTGGGGGCGGGAGACTGGCTCGTGGCCCGGGGCCGGCACACCCTGGCGGAGGGGTGCCCGCCGTCTCGCCCCGCTGGCCCGGCGGCCGCACCCCAACCCCTCCCCGCACCCCGCAGGCACCAACGTCTGCGCGGTGGCCAACGGCGGGTGCCAGCAGCTGTGCCTGTACCGGGGCGGGGGCCGGCGGGCCTGCGCCTGCGCCCACGGGATGCTGGCCGAGGACGGGGCGTCCTGCCGCGAGTACGCCGGCTACCTGCTCTACTCGGAGCGCAGCATCCTCAAGAGCGTGCACCTGTCGGACGAGCGCAACCTCAACGCGCCGGTGCAGCCCTTCGAGGACCCCGAGCACATGAAGAACGTCATCGCGCTGGCCTTCGACTACCGCGCGGGCACCAGCCCCGGCACCCCCAACCGCATCTTCTTCAGCGACATCCACTTCGGGAACATCCAGCAGATCAACGACGACGGCTCCGGGAGGACCACCATCGTGGAGAGTGAGCCGCACCCCGGGCGACCCGGGGCGGGGACGAGTGCAGACAGGCGTAGCGCGCCCCCAAGGTGTCAGCCAGAGCCCCCGCGCCACCTGCCTCGGCCTGGGACACAGTCGCCGGAGCGTCTTGGCGCCGGGCAGCAGAGCTGACCCCCCTTACTTCCGGCCACAGGACCGGTCCCGCCCCCGGGGGCGCAGGACTAGCCACGGCCCCGTGTGGCCGCTGACGCGGGCCGGGGGTCCTCCCCAGACGGGGTTCCAGGCACCCGCTCAGCCTCTCCCTTCCCCCCGGCCACCCAGGCCGCTCGCTCCCGAGCCCTGCCCGGCTGCCCCTTCAGCCGTCCCTCGGCCTCACCCGGACCCACACTGCTGTCTCCTTGCAGACGTGGGCTCCGTGGAGGGTCTGGCCTATCACCGAGGCTGGGACACCCTCTACTGGACCAGCTACACCACGTCCACCATCACCCGCCACACGGTAGACCAGACCCGCCCGGGAGCCTTCGAGCGTGAGACGGTCATCACCATGTCCGGAGACGACCACCCCCGGGCCTTTGTGCTGGACGAGTGCCAGAAGTGAGCTGTGGGCCCAAGCGTGGGGTGCGGGGGGGCCGGAGTGGAAGAGGCTGGCTCCACCCTGAGCTCGCCAGGGCCTCACTGACCGACCTCTGGCCAGCCGTGCGCCTCCTCTGACTTTCAGTGTCCTCGTCTGAAGGGGGGTCACGATTCCTCAGGCCTGAGCCAGAGGCAGAGACACTGGCTTGTGGTCAATCTGGGGGTCAGAGAGCCACGTTCGAGGCGCAGAGTAGGTTTCTGTAACTGCGGCCCAGCTTCAGGCAGCTTAGTCACTGGCGCATTCGTGGGAGCCCTGACCTGGGTCTGGTCAAGCCCCGTGGGGAGACGCCGTGTCGGTGGAGAGCCGGACGGCTGGCCCAGGGCCGCGCCAGACCGCCCCGCGGCAGCAGCTCGGCCGGAAGTGGGCAGGCGGCGCAGGGCGGGGCGCGGGCCGGGCGGGAGCAGGCGGGCCCCGCCCAGACGTGGCCCAGGGACCGGGTCCGGCCGCAGAGAACACGACCAGGAACGTGGGAGACGCACAGGGTGGCCTGCACCCCCAGAAACTGCCTGCTTTCACCCCTGCGCGGCACCCCCACAGTGGCGTGGGCCGCAGCCTGCCCCCACTTGTCCGTGGCCGTCCTGGTCCGCAGGTGAGGAAGCCACCTCGAGTTCAGCAGCACTTGGAATGCCTCTCCGAGTGTGACTGGGCGCAGGGGACGAACCCAAACCAAGGCCGCTGCTCAGAGATGCAGCGCTGATCGGGTGCCTGGCCTCTGGCCGCCTCGCGTCCAGACGCGGCCCACTGCTGGCCGTGACCAGTGCGTACATGACGCACGAAGCAGGTCCCTTCTTCCAGGGAACACGCTCTCGAGGAATGGAAGCATGAGGCGGGGACCGGAGGATGATGTTGGGGTACACGGAGGGGGGCAGAGCAGGGGAGAGAGCTGTCTGGGAGGCCCCTCTCTTGACCGGACGGCCAGCACGTCGGAGGGGCTGGAGGAGCCAGAGGGGCAAGCCCCAGGCATCCACGTGCATTTCGGGAGCCCCATCACCCCAGTAGGGAGAAGCGTGGTGTGGCCGGCTCCCATCACCTCCTTCACTGAGGGGAAACCAGGGTGCAGCAGGCTGGGGGGCCACCCAGGGCCGGGGCCGAGGCCCCACACCCGCGGACCGCCTTAGTCTCTGGCCGCCCTGTGCGCTCCGCGCGGGAATCCCGCCCAGCGGGGCTGTCTGAGGGTCGCGCCGAGTTCTGGAGAAGCTGCTCTTTGGGCGTTGCTGGGGGCCGGGGCGCAGTGAGGGTCTCCTGGGTGCAGGGAGGAAAGAGCAGCTGCCTGTGGGAAAAGGATGCTCCCCGCCCCGGGGCGGCCCGGCCGCTCCGTCAGACGGAGCAGGCGCAGAGGAAACCCAGCACCCAAGGGCGAGGGACTCGCCGAGGTCCCAGCCGTGAGGGGCCAGCCGGGACGCCCGTTCACAGGCGCGAGGTCCACCCTCAGGCCTTGGGCACCAGCGCTGCGCTGACCTGGCGTCCCGGAGGTCGCGCTGCTGGCCGTGGTCCGGCCCACGCCCTGGTTCGGGCGCCCCCCCACCCCGGCTTAGATGGGCCCTCTCCCCCCAGCCTGATGTTCTGGACCAACTGGAACGAGCAGCACCCCAGCATCGTGCGGGCAGCGCTGTCTGGGGCCAACACCCTGACCCTCATTGAGAAGGACATCCGCACCCCCAACGGCCTGGCCATCGACCACCGGGCCGAGAAGCTGTACTTCTCCGACGCCACGCTGGACAAGATTGAGCGCTGCGAGTACGACGGCTCCCACCGCTACGTGAGTCTCGGGCGGGGCGGGGCGGGGGGCTGCGGGGCGGGGGAGCCAGGGGCAGGCGCGGGAGCACCCCGAAACGCCGCGGTGGGTGGGGTCCAGCGAGGGGCCGGGCACCTGGTGACCCTGAAGGTGTGGGCCCTCAGGTGATCCTGAAGTCGGAGCCGGTGCACCCGTTCGGGCTGGCCGTGTACGGGGAGCACATCTTCTGGACCGACTGGGTGCGGCGGGCAGTGCAGCGGGCCAACAAGCACGTGGGCAGCGACATGAAACTCCTGCGCGTGGACATCCCCCAGCAGCCCATGGGCATCATCGCCGTGGCCAATGACACCAACAGCTGTGAGTGGTGGCTCTGCCGCGCCGGCCAGCGTGGACACTCGTGCACGCACGCCACCCCGGCCCTGCCTCCAGACCCCCCGACCCCCGCGCAGACCACACCTCACCCACCTTCCTCCCCGGGAGTCCGGGACACTCGCACTCGTTTCCTCTCGCTCCCCGGGGCGTCTGCGCACACGGGCACTCGCTCAGCAGCCCGAGAGCGGGTCTCAGCGTTCCGCTCATTCTGCCCCAGGCGCTCCCCAACTGCAGAACCCGAGCACCCCGGCTCTGCCTGCACCCCTCATGCCCGTGCACACACAGACCCTCAGCGCCAGGCCCACCCAGCACTCCCCAGCCAGCCTTCCCGTCTCCCGCCGGGGCGCCCGGTGCAGCTCTGAGGGGGGCGCCCCGGGGGGCGCAGCTGCCGCACCCAGCCCGCTCTTGGTCCCCGCCAGGCGAGCTCTCCCCTTGCCGCGTCAACAACGGGGGCTGCCAGGACCTGTGCCTGCTCACCCACCAGGGCCACGTCAACTGCTCCTGCCGAGGGGGCCGCGTCCTCCAGGGGGACCTCACCTGCCGAGGTGCGAGAGCGGGGCGGGCACCGGGGAGCGACGAGTGACCGCAGGGCCGTTGGGGGGCCGCACGGGGCGACTCACGGGGCTCCCACCTCCCTCCCCAGCCGTGAATTCCTCTTGCCGAGCACAAGACGAGTTCGAGTGTGCCAACGGCGAGTGCATCGACTTCAGCCTGACGTGCGACGGGGTCTCCCACTGCAAGGACAAGTCGGACGAGAAGCCCTCCTACTGCAGTGAGGAGCCTGCGGGCCTGGGCAGGGCGGGGTGGGGGTGGGAGCGGCCCACAGAGGGCGGCAGAGCGGGTCGGGCCCCCTCGGAGGCACCCGCCCCACTGCTGCCACCGACCCGCCCCCCAGACTCCCGCCGCTGCAAGAAGACATTCCGCCAGTGCAACAACGGGCGCTGCGTGCCCACCATGCTGTGGTGCAACGGGGCGGACGACTGCGGGGACGGCTCGGACGAGATCCCCTGCAACAGTGAGTGCGGGGCTGCCCCTCCCGCTGAGCGCCCCCAAGCCCAGGGAGCCGGCTTGGGGTGCGGTGATGCCCTGGCCTGGCCGGCCCTGACCGCGGGGTGGGCGCTGTTCCAGAGACAGCCTGCGGGGCCGGTGAATTCCGCTGCCGCGACGGCACCTGCATCGGGAACTCCAGCCGCTGCAACCAGTTTGTGGACTGCGAGGACGCCTCGGACGAGATGAACTGCAGTGAGTGACCGCGGCAGCCAGCGCCGGGAGCCCCCACCCCACCCTGCTCCCTTCTGCCCGTCTCCCTGCCGGCCCGCGGGCCCCCCGGGCTCCTCAGAGCAGCTCTGCCCTTCCTGCTCCCTGAGGTGGGGTGGGGGGCGCTGCCCTGGGAGGGACGCCGGCTGAGGCAGGCCCCACGGCCAGCGGCTGCCCAGGGGCGGAGGGGCCCGGCCTCACCGCGCCCCGCCCCCAGGCGCCACCGACTGCAGCAGCTACTTCCGCCTGGGGGTGAAGGGCGTGCGCTTCCAGGCCTGCCCGCGGACGTCCCTCTGCTACGCGCCCAGCTGGGTGTGCGACGGGGCCAACGACTGCGGGGACTACAGCGATGAGCAAGACTGCCCAGGTCTGGCCGCGCGGCGGGCGGAGGGCGGAGGGCGGTGGCTGGGCCGCGGGGACCCACCCTCATGCCTCCCCGCCCCCAGGTGTGAAGCGCCCCAGGTGTCCCCTGAACTACTTCGCCTGCCCCAGCGGGCGCTGCATCCCCATGAGCTGGACCTGCGACAAGGAGGACGACTGCGAACACGGCGAAGACGAGCTCCACTGCAGTAAGTGACCACGGAGGCCGCCGTGCACCAGGTGCCGGGAGGGGGGTCACGCAGCCTCAGACGCCGGTGGGGCAGGGGGCTCACCGCGGCCCTCAGGGTCCCAGCTCTTGGTCGCCTCCAGGAACTGCCCCCGGGAGATCAGCACCGGGGCGCACCAGGCCCCACCGATAGGTCCCAGGGCGGGAGGGCGGGTCTCTGCCCCTGCCCCCTCCCTGTCCCGCCGGCCGGGCCACCCTGATGTGGCTTCCCACTGCCCAGACAAGTTCTGCTCGGAGGCCCAGTTCGAGTGCCAGAACCACCGCTGCATCTCCAAGCAGTGGCTGTGTGACGGCAGCGACGACTGCGGCGACGGCTC